GTGATACACAAAAAAGAAGCTTTGAAACTTAATAATTACCCGGATAAATTAGTCAAGAAATATATAAGGAAATGTAAAAGTAAAATAAATGATGATAGTAGCAATAGTGACAATAACAATAATAATGATAATAATAATATTAATGACGACACCAATAATAAGGAATATAAATCATCATTAGTAATTCCATACAAGGAAGGAACCTCGGAAGCCTTACGCAGAATTCTTAACAAGGCAGGAATAAAAATGGCATTCAAACCCACAAACTCAATTAGAAACATGATTTGTTGGTTTAAGAATCCTGTAGAGCCTTTAAAACAAAACAATTTAGTTTATCTAAATACCCTGCTGGAACAACTGTCAGGTCAAATACATATGTCAAACTAGTAGAACAGGGGCAGCCAGACTAGTTGAACATAAAAACTTAGCAAAATCTAGATTGGTTGACCCGAATAAGATAAGAAATTTAGAGAATAGTTCAGCTATACCACTCACTACATGCAATTACACACAACCATACATCATAGGATGGGATGGGATAGGATCACAGTTTTAAAATCTAATGTAACAGGGTGGAAGGAGAGATTGATAACAGAAGCTTTGTTTATCGAATCAACTGCAAATACATGTAATAGGAATGATTCATCACCTGTCCCCGATATCTGGAAAATTCTACTACCCATACGACAAATAGGAGAAAACAGAAAACTATAAAACTCAAGTGTCAAAGTCGTGTGGTTACAACTGATATGATTATGAACAATAAATTTTGTTCGAAACGTCATCCAATAAATAATACTGTTTCACTGTGTGATATATCTAATAAACAAACTAATATGGAATTACTTACTACCATAGTGCCCAAGTTTTACACATATATTAATGTTTTCATTCTCATTCCTGAATTTTCATTCTTCTTCTTCTTCATTCTTTGAATCCCTAGTGGAACACAGAGGAGGGCTCAAGCAACTCATCTCCATTCCACTCGTTACCCTATCCTACCATCACTTTCTATTGGCTCTATGATACTGTAAACTTTCATATCTCCCTTTTCATAGGATCTTCTCTGTGTCACCCTAGGAAACTAAAAATCTGTTGCTGCTGCCATATTTTCGAGTTCCACACTCGGGAGCCTGCTTAGCATGTGATGTCGCTTGAATGTCTCTCTTCAGCGTATATGTCCAGTCCAACTGGTCATCTACTGCAGATTTCTTTATTTCTTATCCTTCTCAGTCAACTATCTGATCTCCAATATTGAAAGAAGGCAGCATCGTTTCAACTACAGGCGGGACGATTGAATATGTCGAAAGGTGGATGGGATAATCAGAGTGGGAACCTGCTACATTCAGCATAAGGAACAAAATTCAAATTTTTTACACTAATGTTAAGACTGTGCTTCTATATATATGCTCCAGAGATTTCGCGTTTGCGTCATGCAAAGCATTTCCAACAGGCTACTTCATAATTTTATCGACAGTTGTCTTCGCCGGCTCCAGACTGGAGTTCAGATGTCTCGCCAGAAAGAATTGACAACAAGAAACTCTAGCAGCGAGGTCAATCAACCAAAAGTCTATCGCTCAACAAATATGCAGATGGAAATGGAGGTGGATTTGGATGCGCCTTGAGAAGACGGTTGAGTGACATCATGTGCCAGGCAGACCTAAAGTGGAACCCCAGTATGGAAAACAAATTGTGCGCGGGTTCGAGGGTGACATTAGTGAGATCATGCAAGGAGGAGGGGGAGGAGATGAACGCTTATGGGCAATCATGGAGTGAGCTAAAAGGGACTACAGTGAACCTAATGAAATTGAGATGAACTACTTAAGTCGTGTTCCACTCCGATAACAATGTGTTTATGAATGTCTGCAGTAGCCTGTTGGGAATGCTTCTGATGACGCGACATATATTTATCATGAATTAATATTATTATTTATTTCATTTTGACTTGGAATCTGTGGAACCTGCCAATCTGATGTTCTTGTCTGTATTCAAGTTTGTAACAGCTTGTTCATACGGAAACTGGAGACCTGACATTTATCAATTTAGAAATAGCTTCAGGGTGATTTACTGCTTGTTGGTTACTGATGCTGGTTTTGATTCCTAGTACAGCAGCATGTACGTCGGTGGCATAGCGGTTAGGACGCTCGTCGACCATAGATATGGTCCGGGGTTCGATCCACGGCCAACGCACTCCTTTACCTCGCTAATCCAGAAATAAAACGCTGGTAAAGGGTAAAGGTTGGGCATGAGGCTTGAAGGAATACAAAAAGTAGTGCAGCATCCCTCTACTCCCAAAAGATGTGAAATAATGACCTTACAGAGGTGTCTATATGTCATACTAGCCAAAGGGAATTGATCACATTAGTTCGATGAATTGGCAGGGCGCAAAATTAAGAAATCTATTACCAGTGACCACACACACACACAAACTGGTTCACCAAATCCATATGGCAGGATATGAAGATGGAAATTCAGTATGTATATGATTTAAAGCTGACGACTTTTACTTTTCACACTGACCTAACTGTTTCGAAAACCTGAAATCACTTAATTCAGGTCGTATTCTTTTCATCTTCTTGCATGACTAAAAGTTCAAGTGAAATCACGAACTGATATCAATTCAGGAACCGTTGTAAGCCAGGAGTTTCTGGGTTGTTTTTTCGTCCCATTTCGAGACTCCTCATCAGTACGCACCCATCAACAGAAAAATTTCTTAGCAACGAAAGGAATATTTCCAAAGATGTATCATTAGAATTTCAAATTTTAAGTAACAATTAGGTAGTACAGAAAGTGTTAAACGGGAAGAAACTGAAATAAAATTAACTAAGTCAATTGAGTGCCGTAATAAAATTGACAGGATTGAGTAGAGGTCAAAGTGGGGTCATTGAGTCGTTTCACAGCGAATGAATTGTCTAAGACGTTGGATTGCAACCGAAAGGTTCTAGGTTCAAACCTCAGTGGCTGAGTACTGTGGATAAACCCCAAACTAGGATAAAGCAGCGGTCCAGTACTCTGGTTTTCCAGTGGTTATCTAAATTATGTCAGCCCGCGATGAAACCTGTAATTAATCGAATCCATGCAAATCGACATTTGAGAAAAAAATTAGTGTGGAGTTAAGAATAGCTATTATAAGCAGTAGAAATATCATATTATTTGGGAGGGGAAGAGAACAATAATATAGTTAAGAAACATGAGAATTATATATCCCATGTTATAACAGATTAGATTCGTAGTATATTTGTGGTGAGTGCTACTTATAATCCGATATAAGTAGTATATCAGAAACGAAGTAACAATATGTTTGGCACACTGGACAGAGCAATCAAAGAAGAGAACCATGAGAAGAATGTTGCCATATGATGCAGAATCCAAGAAGCTATCGAATGTGACGATATTCGACGAATTCGTCAAGGATGTGTTAATGATGTGCAAATGGCCGGTTGAGAATATGGTATACCAAATTTAGCTATGTACCATACGTTTCACCAAATTAATATTCTTTTCAGCCTCCTTGGTCTTTTCTTCTTTACATATTGAGTGACTGAACGAATTTCTGTATGCTGAAAATTTACCATATATAAACATGCGACTGTAAAGCTTGAAAATGATATTGCTGAGAAAAGAGTATATCTTTTTGATTGGACACTAGTAACTAGTGTGACGTGTCTGGTCTTTTCTTTGGTGCAGACTGAATTCTATCAGTCAGGTTTGCAGTGTGGCCACCATACCACTAGGTAACTCGCCATCACGGTGAACATTGATTTTATGATAACAGATAGTTGGAGGCAATAGGCCACAGGAAGCCTCCCACCTAGGTTTCGTGCTGGTTGACATTCAACAGTGAGCAGGGCGTATCTGCAACCTTGAAGTAACAAATCATATCTCTCCTGAGATTCGAACTCGCGTCACCCAGTGAGAGCTGCTGTCAGAGACGTTCCCACTGAGCTATTCGGGCTCGCGATCGACCTGCTGTTGGTCTGTAGTGGGCATTTTGATTGAACACTAGTAACAAGTGTCGGCCAGTTCACGGTACATATTGCCATCGCTAGCCATTTTCATCGGCAAGTGTTTGTCTGAGCACTAGATCGCTCACAACTTCTGATTAGAACTTTAAGAAATCCATCCACTTATGTTTCACTATGATTCATTCACTGTATTATATTTTATCTTTTTGCATTCCAAATGCAACTTAGGACTTCAAGATTCAGCTTTTTTAAGTTTCAGTAGCACTGGTGTTTTCTAACCTTCCCCATTTTTCCGGCTTGCAACCGAATAAGGTGGGGAGGGGATGAAGGTGTGCGCCGGCTAAGAATCGATACCTGGACCACACGCAGGTTTGGCGATGAATTGACCATCGACACACAGAAGTGTGTCTCGGAAGGGACACCTAGTTTATTTACTAGTCACATATCTCTTTAAATATTTCGCAAAGTATACACATATGTTACACTGTATGTAGGGAGAAAGAGTATTCCGCGGATGAATTTTTCTGCGAAATTTAATGAATTGATTAGTTATCAAGTGTCAGTTTGCAGGGATTTCATTGGTTACGGGATTGATCACGAGCTTACATCAGTCGGAAAACCCATTGGAGAGCCTGAGGGTACTAGCCAGCTGTTTTGGCCTAGTTTGGGACTTTTCAGAAGTACGCATTAAGCCGCTGGGACCTGATCCAATGGCCATCCCATGAATTCCAACTTCTACCAATTCGTGATATGTATTTAGTACAACCGTCAGCCAATGTCACAGGCGAGTAACTGTGCTCTTGCCTGAAATGATGGACCCCTCTGGGTTCGAACTCTGGTTGTCGCGTGCCGATGAAGAGTCCAAAACTAGGACGAAACTGCCGTCTAGTAATCCGAAGTTTTCCAATGGTTTTCTGACTTTTGTCATCTGGTGATCAATTCTGTAATTCATGAATTCTTAACTTCATTTTGTTACTTATTTTTAAAAGCTGAAATTCTTTAAAAAAATTTCCTAAATTTTTTTAATATTTTTAGTTTGAATTAATGTACTTTCAAAATTCACATCTAACTGCACCAGAACAATACAGATGGTAAGTGTTAATTTTTTTGTAACTATAATACTTACTATTTCTATCCAAATGATGTTCGAATAAAATGAATTTTTAGTAATAAATTAAGAGTGAATAGAAATGAAAACGTCGGTTGCTTGCTGAATACTTTCAGTGGAATCAACGACTCTTGTTTCGTCTTAATTGGGGTTCTTCAGCGTAATATACTTCCCCATCCCTTGTAGGTGAGTAATACTGTCCCTATCGATAGCTGTGTAGAGAAATGGCTCATTACTCTAAGAAACTTGACTTCCAGCCGGTGGGTTCCAAGTTCGAGTCCCATTCCACTCAGTTCGCCCTAAGCAGCTGAGTAGGATCATCAGACGTCACACAGTAAATGTGGCTCATGGGCTGGTATTTAGTAGCAGTGTCATATTTGTGGGAATTGTACCTTACAACCGTTGTTTCGAATGGCAGAGCGTTCTTCCCTAGGTGACTGGGGATAGTAGGCACTTGCATAGTTGCAACACAAGATGAGACTGTATACAGCTTCAAGTATTGGTTCTTAGAATCCCGTGGACCCCAACCACTCAGTCTACACCTTCCTATGTGACTCAAATTAACTATTAAAGGTTTCATGGAATGATGCCATGTCTTAGTTTGACTACCACTAGCTCTTTTCCAGCCCAATCATATATTAGATAACATTGCCTGTTGAGGAAGGCGATGTTTAGGTATGTGTAAGACATATCTTAACCATCTCAATCGATGTAGCTTCACGATCTCATCGATTGAATTCACCTCTTCACCTAATACTTTTAATATCTTCCACTTCCAATGACCGTTTCTCGCTCACAGCCCTAAAGGAGGACATAGCGAACTATTGTGCAGTTCACACGCCCTTTCATCGATTGCCAGCCGGATATCACGTATACGCTAGAGATGGTGTAAGTTGACAAATGCCACATGAACCTTCTCTGTCTATGTTGAGGTGTCGTCTGCGATCAACCCGCTGGTGCTGATGCAACTTCCGAAATAAATGAAGTGATCAGCATGCTCTACTACTTTACTCCTGCTTATCTTTAAGCTATGAGTCAATGTAGTCCAGTCCTGTGGTCTGATCATCTTACATTTGACAGGAGGCAATCGCAGGCCATACATCCTAAGATTGCTGCTGTATGTGCTCAGAAGACTGCTTTTCTAAGTCATCAATATTATTCCCTAGTAACAATTGAATCCCTGAATCGCTGACATCAGTTAGGGTTAATTCCATTAGTACATCTATGATGAAATTAAACAGAAATGGGGACAGTGGGCATCCCTAATGGATACGACTAGTTGTCATCACTTCAGATCACAACTCTCTGTAAGCTCTCATCTGACTGACTTCGTGAGTTCGAGTAGAGTGCCTTGATTAGTGCGATGTACTCTCTTGACACTTCCTTCACGGCTAAACATTGCCATACTAGCTCTCAGTCGATGGAGTCGAAGTTGTTGGACTCTGGTAATAAGTAAATCTATGTTCCAGGATCTGTCAAAGAGTGATGTGATGTGATCATTGGAAAGTGATAACAGAGAATATAGTGGAACGGGAATGTGTCCTAGCTATCTATCTCAGTCGAAGATACTTCACCCACACCTCTTCTATTGGTTATCCCTCTTTAGAACAACACATTTAAGCGAACAATATTGTTTTCAATTAGATCTCATCAGGCTTAACTCTAATATATGTAAGTTTACAAATAAAAATTCTAAATATAAACCAATCATGGTGTTTTGTCTATAGAATAATACGATGGTGAATATAAATTGTGCAATTAGTCATAATAGTAGTAATGATAATAGTAATAATAGTAATAATAAATATGGTCTTGTCAATGATAACGATGAAAAGGTGAGGCAATCTGTGATAACACGTATAAGGAAAAACAGCATTATTAAACAAACAACTGTTCAGGTGGAAGTAGTCGATAAAGGCTAGTAAAAACGAATGAACCGATTAACTAATGTTAGATTGTAAGGGAAGGAAATGAAACACGTTTATAATGAAGATAAGATTAAGGGATGATAAGCAAGGGGTTGAAAATATAAACAAGGTGTGGTGGTGTAGAAGTCATTAGTTGGTTATGTCTTAATAGGCCAATAAGGGAGGGATAATGGCTGTGTACGAACTTCTTTTGAATGCATAGTTTAGGTTAAATAGTTCGAATGCCTATCGCCTGCCTCAGCTGTGTGCTGCAGCAGATGAATACGAAGTCTATTGGAAAGATTCGGTGGGATACGATGAATTACTTTGAGGGCTCTCGTTTTCTCGATTACATGACCACTATCAATTAAGTGTGACAAAATTGAGCTACGAATTGTTTTTGTCTGTCCTTTGCCAAACCACGATGGGAGATGTTCAGTGGTGACACGTTGGATAAGCTGTCTAGTAGTACGCCCGATATAACTGTCACCGCAGGTGCATCTTTCCCTCTCTGATATAGATCCTAACATTAGGAAACTACATATTGAGGCGTTTCTCCATCCTTCTATTTCATTTTTATGTTCATTTCAGAAATATATATGTGATGTATGCTAACTCTGAATATTATGTAACTATTTAAAAAGAAACCCCATATTCTTTCATAGTTAATTAAATTCACCCTCATTTTAAAAGCACTTTCAACCTTACCGCGAGGTTTTGTATATTAATAAAAACAAGATTTTAACATTGAATAGCTGTTTTCATCCTCACATAAAGAGAAATCAGGGAACTGAGTGAAAGTCTAGTAAATTCTTCAAATGAAAAGTCATTTGAAATGTTGACTGTATTAAGCATTGTATGTAAGGTGGTATTTGTGACTGTACTGTATTCATGAATGAAGTTTAATGACAGCTACACACATTTCATCTCTTATCATGAAGCGAGAGAGACTGCAAACTTTCATTCCCAGATGAATAAAGATTATTTATTTATTTTTCTTCTTATATACCATTAGTGGTAGCAGTTTGAGCAGCAGTTTTCCTTCCTTTTTTTGTATAGCCAAGACGTATTTTTTCTTGAAAGCTGCTATCAACCTGAAATCTGTATGTGTTGTTGTACATTTTATGATAAGGCGTTAAAATGTGGATGGTGAGCTGGGTTGGATGGGTGGATGCTTGGATGTCGGGTTGGGGGATAGTATGTTGTGGTTGTTGGTCTTTTCTTTCCTTAGAATATTCATTTCTTCTCATTATTATTATTATTCTTGTTTATGAAATGTATATTTTTTAAAAACGGATTAGAAATGTTACTATTTCATTATTATTCCCATGGGTTCCAGTTGGAAAATAAGCCCTAAGCAGCACATCTTCATTTTAGTCCGTAGTCTACAGTCGTCTTTAGTCTACTCTTATCTCCTCTTCAAACGATCTCCTCTATGTGTCACTCTCAGCTGATTAACTTGTCGTTCCCCTATTCGGGTATCACTCAACGACGGCTTCAGCGTCGGTGGCACAGTGGTTAGGACTCTCGCCGACCATGCACATGGTCCGGGGTTCGATCACCTGCCGGCGCACACCCGATATCTATGGTATGCCTGAATTTGGGCAACCGATATCCATGCTGAAAATTCCACACTTGTACTGAAAATACGGTGTGGAATCAAGCTGTAAATCAAAAATAAAATCAAAAATAAAATATCCAGTCCCTTTCTTATTTTTCACAATATTGGATGACAAATTATTGATTGGTTTGTTGCAGTAGTCCTCTGTTGCCAATCTTTTCTGACTGGCTATGCGATCTTTAACAGAGGTGATGAAGATTTCTGGCTAACAGCAACAGCAACAACAACAGACGACAATCAGCATAAATGGGAGGAATCTGAAAGAAGCAACCTCCTTTACCTACCTAGGAAGCATCATTTCAACTACACGCGGAACTGATGAGGATATCAAAGCAAGGATCGAGAAAGCAAGCAAAGCTTTCATTACTCTCAGGTCTGTGTGGAGATCAACAGCACTCAGGATGAAAATGAAAAATAAGATCCGGATTTTCAACTCCGATGTGAAGTCAGTCAGTGCTACTAAATATATGCACGATCAGAGACTAGGTACCGCGTCACGAAGGGCAGTTCGAACAAACTACAGACCTTCATCAACAGCTGTCTTCGCTCACTACTACTCAAGACCAGATGGCCGGCCAGTAAAGATCAGCAACAGGGATCTCTGGCAACGAACGAACCACCCAGGAACTGATTGTGCAGCAAATATGCAGGAAGAAGTGAAATGAAATTATTAACTTAGTTGACTAAAGATACACACTAATTAAGTATATAAATATTACCCCTTCAATCACAAATGACACATTATATACTATCACAATATAACGTCAGTGTTTCTCACGATGTCTATTGACATGCATGCGGATTTCATCTTGTTTCCTTTAGAGATAAACAATATTATATATGCATATATTTTACACTGGTATATTATTTATTATATTTGTACTTAACATGGAATGAGTTATTTAGGCGGTTAGATTTTATTTTGTTCCCTCTTATGCACATCCGCACCACCTACCCACCCCGCCTCCACCCCTCAACTCACCCGTCTGTTTGTCGTTTTCTCCAAGAGAGGCTAAAAAACACAACTGTAGTGTTGCTTATCATTTTTACTACTCTATGTGTTCACACGGAGGCGAAATCTTTCCACGTTTGACACTTATACGTATATTTTCAAGTTATATCATGCCTTGTTAGTATTATTATTATTATTATTGTTATTAGGATTGACGTGATGCCTTTTCTAGTATGCATTGCCGTGATTTCAGTAGTAAATGAGTGAGTGTCTCGTACAGATGATGTCATGATATATTTGATATACTACTAATAAAATAATTGTAGTAATATAATGACAACTGTCAGATAGAGTTGTACTTTCATGAGAACTACTCATTATTATTATTATTTCTTATCTTGACGATTTGACTGATTGAACTGACAGTTGTTCAGCTTACGCTTCCTGTTTTTTTGTTGTTGTTCTTCTGGTTGTTGTTACTGTTATTGTTATCTTGACTTGCT